CAAGAGCAGTGATGAACGGCACCACGCGCAGGTGGCCGACATCATCTGCGTGCGGGAGCTCCTAACGTCCGTCACAAGACGAACCCAACAGCCCCGGAGGCTGGATCGCCGGCGCGCGCCTCGAGGAGCTCGCCGGCAAGACGGTGGCCGCCCGCAACGTCATCGCCCGCGGCTGCGAAAAGTGCCCCAAGAACGTCGACGTCTGGCTGGAGAACATCAGGCTCAACGATGTCCGCAACGCCAAGATCATCGCCGCCGAGGCCATCAAGAAGAACGACAAGTCGGTGCTCTTGTGGGTCGAGGCCATGCGGTTGGAGAACGAACCGCGGGCCAAGAAGAGGGTCATCCGGCTGGCGCTGGACCACATTCCCGACTCGGAGGCGCTGTGGAAGGAGGCTGTCAATCTCGAGGAGGACCAGACGGACGCTCGCCTGTTGCTGGCCAAGGCGACCGAGATTATCCCTCTGTCGGTCGACCTCTGGCTGGCGCTGGCGCGGCTGGAGACGCCCGAAAATGCGCAAAAGGTGCTGAACAAGGCGAGAAGGGCGGTGCCGACGTCGTTCGAGATCTGGATCGCCGCTGCCAGGTTGCAGGAGCAGCTGGGGGCCAGCGTCAACGTCATGAAGCGCGCTGTCAACGTCTTGGTCAAGGAGTCAGCCATGCCGAAACGCGAGGAATGGATCGCCGAGGCCGAAAAGTGCGAGGAGGAGGGCGCCGTCGCCACGTGCGGCGACATCATCAAGGAGACTCTCGGCTGGGGGCTCGACGAGGACGACGATCGAAAAGACACGTGGATGGACGATGCCAGGGGGAGCATCAACCGCGGCATGTACGAAACGGCACGGGCCATCTACTCGTACGCGCTCCGCGTCTTCGTCAACAGCAGGACGCTGTGGATGGCGGCGGCCGACCTCGAGAGGAACCACGGCACCAGGGCGTCGCTGTGCCAGGTGCTCGACAAGGCCGTCGACGCGTGCCCCAAGAGCGAGGTCCTGTGGATGATGCTGGCCAAGGAAAAGTGGCAGGCCGGCG